CTTACTTACTTACTTACTTGTGTTTTATTAAGAGCCGAGGTGGCGCAGTGGTTAGGGTGCAGTACTGCAGGCCACTTCAGCTGACTGTGATCTGCAGTTCAGCGGTTCTAATCTCACCGGCTCAAGGTTGACTCAGCCTTCCATCCTTCCGAGGTGGGTGAAATGAGGACCCGGATTGTTGTGGGGGCGATATGCTGACTCTGTAAACCGCTTAGAGAGGGCTGAAAGCCCTATGAAGCGCTATATAAGTCTAACTGCTATTGCTATTGCTAACTCCCAGAATCCTCTACGGTGCCTTAAAGGCAGAGCGGGGAATTCTGGGAGTTGGAACTGGCCGATTACGGTGCTGTAAAGGCATAAATAAATCAAGTGAACGAATGAGCAAACGGCGCGTGAATCTGCACTCGGCCTCTTCCTCCTCCTCCGCGCCCGTCTGCCAGCTTGGCACCTCTGCCAGGGTTTGGCTGGGGAGAGAACGTTGGAAGGATCCTGTCTTGTTTGCAGTGCCCCTTGGCTGGGGGAGACCCTCAGAAGGACTTGATTTGTTTTCCGTACGTTGCTCCTTTGGCTGCTTTGGAGGATAGGTTGACCCCCTTTTCTTTGGGGCAGCCCCCCCCACCCCACCCCGGCCCAAATATTGGAAGACTGCTATCGTTTCTTTCGGGGATCGCCCGTCTCACGTTAAAATGCTGGGCGCAGCCAGTGCTGGGTCTGGTTTGCGCGAGGAAGGGGGGGGGTCTGGGGAGAGAAGGGATGACCGAGGATAGATGGGGGCGGGGCGAGAACCGGGACTGGTCTTACCGCGGCTGCACTGGCGGAGAGAATGTAATTACGCGGTCTAGTTTCTTGAAAGTCAGGCACCGCCTACGGAGGGGGAATACAAGTTCACGCACAGATCATCGGTTGGGAAAAGCGGGGGGCGGGGCGGGCGTGGGAACTGGCGAGGAAGAGCCATCCTCTGGGTCCCCTAGGCCCAAAGGAGGGCCTCCCCAAACCCGAGAGTCCCCCCCCCAATTCTCTTCCGCCTATTCCTCTTGGCATCTTACATGGACTTCGACTCCCAGAATTCTCCAGCCAGCCTGCTTTAAGGCGGATGGACCTCAACTCCCAGAATTCCCCAACAAACATGCTGGCTGGGGAATTCTGGGAGTTGAAGTCCCCCCACCCCCTTCTCCCCGATCTTAAAGGGGCTGAGATTGAGATGCCCTTTTTGTTCCGAGCAACGGAACAATAATACTTGATTAAACTCGGATTGCGGCCTGACTCTCAGCAACTCCCTTTGGAGGGAAATGGAACTACGCCTCCCGCAGGCTGGGGAAGGCAGGGAGCAGCCGCGCCGCATACATTTACACCGCCCAGGAGCCCCCCGCCTTCCCCCTCTTCTCGCTTCTCAGGCTTGCTTGCTCACGCAGACATACAGCATTCCGAAAAACATGAGGACTAGAAACTTGGGGTTAAAAAAAATTATAATAACGCCAAATTCCACACCAGCCATGCAAGGTTTCATGCATTCGAAATCCACCCAGGCCAGCCTTATGGAGGAGGAGGAGGAGGAGGAGGGACGCGGAGAAAATGTTCGGCGGGTGAGGGCTGGAGCCCGATGGGCAGGAGGGAAATAAATCCATTTTAAAAAATAATAATAATAACTTGCGTGCTTAAAAATCAACCAAAATGGGTGTTGTAAAAAGGACGCTCGCTTCTTGCTTAGATGGAATTAAATTAGCTAATGGAGCCTAAAATTTTCTAATAAGATTTCTGTAACGGTCCTGGCTTTTATATCCTGATTTGATTGATTGATCGGATTTCCATGCAAGCCCGTCTCATGGATACAGCGACTCTGGACAGTGGAATTCACTTAGGACGGCCGCTAAATGGATGGTTTTAAACTGAGCACCATCTATACTGCTGGCTCCTTAACCTGCCAGTGGATCCTCTAAAACAGTGTTTCTCAACCTTGGCAACTTGAAGATGTCTGGACNGAACTGCAGAACTGCAGTCAGCTGAAGTGGCCTGCAGTGCTGCATTTAACCACTGTGCCACCTCGGCTCTTTATAAAGTTATAACAGCCCTGCGAAAAGTGACTTCACACACAACCTCGCAGGAGCATCGCAGCTTCCCCACAATTCAACTGATTACAATTTTGGACGCTTGGCAACTGGCGCTTGATTTACGACGGTTGTTGGGACTCGCTTGTCAACCTTCCCAGCCGGCTTCCAACAAGCAGTCCATGGGGGAAGCCAGATCCGCTGAACGACCTGGGATTCATTTAACAACTGCAATGATTTGCTTAAGAGCCACAGCGAAGCAGGTTGCCAAACTGGGTGTGACTCTAACCACCGCATCGCTTAGCGACAGATGTTTTGATCCCAATCGTGGTCATAAATCAAGGACTACCTACCTGTATGGGGGATTTCCTCCTGAACCCCTGCAATTTTGCCACCCAACCCCCCCCCCTCGGCGCTAACAGCTTCTGTACCAAACCATCAAACCAAATCTTTATGACCAGCATGGCACCAAACCATGAATCTTGGTCTATAAGTCTCAATGGGAAGCATGGGGAATCGAGGGCCGCAGGACTATAGTGTTAAAGTTAGCCACAACCGAGCCGGGTGCCGTGGATTTTGGCAGGGCTGCCCAGGCGCCACGCGTTCTCCCAGCGCCTTGCCCGAGATAGTGGGGTGCCAACCTCATCCGAGAGTAGGGAGAGCTCGCTGCTGTCGGCTCCATCGTAGTCATACAACACCCGGGCTTTCCGAGTGCCGCTGCTGGGAGGGTTCACCTCGCTGGGGTTCAGAGCTTCAACCACCGGAGCCGAATTGGGCGCTCCGGCAATTGTGGGCACCACCGGGAGGGTGGGCACGGCGGGCCCCGTGGCAGCAACCATGGCCGTTGGGGAAGGCGCGCTGGGCGGGGGCGATGTGGACTCTGCGTTGCCCACAAAGGTCCCCGGCAACCTGGATTTAAGAGGAGAAAAGATGAGTGGAAGTTGCCCCTTCCCCGGTTCAACCTTCCATTAACCAGGTTTTCTCACCCAGTAAAAAGTAGCGGAAAAAGATCTACACACCCTGTAAAATGAGTTTTAAAAATCCAAAACTCTTCTGTCCATGCTTTTATGCCCGTACTAAAATAAGACAGTTCGTTATCTATTTATTTATGCAATTTAGTTATATAGTTATTATGCAAGAACGAAATACAACCCACGCAGCTCAAATCATAAAGCGAAAGACAGGAAATGATCACGATTCCTGCCCAATCTGAGAAATTGGGAATAATTTAGAAAAATCCTAACGAAATTGGGCTCTTCACGTTAAAGAAAAAAAAAAAAA